AAAGTGTGTCAAATATCAGTTATAAGATTTGTAGCTGACAAAATTATTTTTTTCCATTTTTTTAATATCGAAATTTTGTTTAATTTTTAAATCATTCATTCCGTCATTTGATTCTTGCATTGTTTCCAACTTTACGCAAGTGTGCAAAATTTCAGATAGATAGGATAAGTAGAAGTGTGTTAAATTTTGATTATAAGATTTGAGACAGACAGACAGACAGACAGACAAACAAACAAGAAGTGAAGTTAAAGAGAAGTGTTGTAAAATGAAGTATAAATTGAATATTCGACTTGAAATTTATGTGGGGTCAATAAAATATAGACAATAATTGGTTAAGTAAAGTTTTAATTACCTCTAGGATATAATTTATATATATATATTTTTTTTTTAAAAAGGCCTCCCACATTCACAATTCCAACAAAAAAAAAAATGAATTGATTTTATTAATTAAAAACAGGGAATGGTTTCATGTCAATGATCAGGGCCCCGACCTTAACGCCTCTGATGGTGGCCTACACCGACTCCGAGGGTCACTGAGCTGTGACGCGAGCGAGGAGCTCAACTCGAAGAGCAATTGAGACGCGGAAGGAGTCGGGATCTAGAAGTGTTCCAAGAGCATCTGAAGGAATAGCGTGAAGCCACAAGCCACTCTCTCTCCTCGCCGCCGCAAGTAGACGAGCCCTGGATATTTGGTCCGCCGCTCCCAAAAGCCGCGCCGCGGAGGCCGCGGCCACAGGCCCATCCCAAGTCCTATATTATATATTGAATATCCAATTGCAATAATATTCGTATTAACTTAGTGTTCATGACCTCAATTGAAATTATAATAACAGTGGAATCATATATATTTAGAATAGAATAGAAGTGTCGGCACTGAAGAAGTGGGCCCATGGCCTGTTGCCGATTCTTGTACTCTTCGTGACTTGATTCACAAGGGATCCGGCCTTATGAACCCGATCTTCCCATAACTGACGAATTGCGAAGTTGAATTGATTATTTGTCAGTGAATGCTATATGTCACCATAAGCACAAACTGTAACGGAAGAGATATGCTAAGCTTTTATTTAAAACTTTAATGAGTTACCATTACATATTTTAACAGGAATTACCCCAAACTCACGACATCTAGCTCATTAACATGTTAGAGGAACAATGTGATGTCTGCTAAGAACATATCAACTTGATATTATCGATGGACAATTGATCGTAGAGAATTAGCGTGAGCTCAGAGTAAACAAACATCGTCAGAGTTCATGGATGAGTGAAGTAAAACAAAGGTGCATTAGCGTCTGAAGTTGATATTAAAATCGCATTAACAGGGTATACATACAGAGTTATTTCCCGTAGCTGATTTGATGTCCCTCTATTTGAGAATGAGACACAAAAATTCTAATTTATCAGGGAAGTTATAGGTATTAACGCGCGGTTTATGCTAGTTACAATTGAAAGAGTAAACATGATGAATGGAAGATTTTCTCGCATAGAATTTACTTGGCTTGTTTACCTCGACACAAATTTTAGTAGTAATATATTTCAGCAGCTTTATAAGTAGCCATCGCTGAAACATACAATTCGCAATACCTATCATTATTAGCACAACATTACCTATCATTATTAGCGAACATATTTTTTTATTTCACAATTATTTAACATATTATTTTACAAAAGATTACCTATCATTATTAGCTAACATTAACATTAGCTGATGTTAGGTTCTGACTACCAGGCTCGTTAAAATTAAACTTGAAAGGCATAATATATGAGGTAATGTCAACCAAACAAACAGGCCTCCGAGGCATGATTGTCTATTGTCCAGAACTTGTGCAAAACAAAATTATTAATTCCAAAGAAAGCAAATAAAAAACAAGCGCGAGGCTTCAACTGGCAAGTTTTATTATCGTTGTACATGTTGTTAGTGTCGCTTTGGTTGTAAAATAGCATAAAGTAGCACAGCATCGATCGATAAAGCGGTACAACGAACCAAATTTGACAAACATCCATCGACATCGATCATAAACTTGACAAACAGCTATCGACTTTCAAACAAAGGAAGCGCGCATCTGAGTCACGGAGATCAAACATCACTGCATTGTTTGCGACTGAAATGAAAACCATTGTCATCAAATGCTAGTATCAATATTGAAATCAAATAAAAATTACCTATAGCTCATACACAAACGTGATCTATATAGCACTTTGATTAGAATTCTTAATCTGCACTAGCCAAGGCTAAGAAAGCCCGCAGTCACCTCGTAGTAACTCTAACTCGCGTACATGCACCAGCAACGCATAAATTTACAAATTGAGCTGGAATATTTCATTTTATAAACTGAAGTTAATTCACATATAGGGTCAGTGATATTTTTGTACTCTAAAGTATTTTTCGAATCTCAAATTTATAGAAAATATAAAAGCCATAAATTTCTTAACTCTGTTTAATATGGCGTCTACAGTTTCAAAAATAAAATATGCATTCACAACTCTACTCATTAACGGGCGCCGAGTTTTTGGTTTGCTCTGCTATGACGTCGCTGATGAAGGAACAAAAATTTCTCCTTTCTGGTTTTTGTATGCAGTTGCGATGCGATTGATCGTTTTGCTTTCCTTCCGCTCCTATGTTAACCCAATATATAAGGTTTCCGTCTATGAGTGATGTTGGCCAAATTACTCTCACGGCGATGCTGGCGGTTAACTTTCTCTGCAGTTTTTCCGGCGGAAACATACTCTTATCACGAAGCTGTAAGTTATCTAAGCTCATTCATCTCCATTTCTACACCGAAAACCAAAAGAATGAAACTAAGTCAATCGTATCGACTTTAATAAAATTTGGTAATTCTGAAATTCGTAATTCTTGCGACTGTATAAGCTTGCGTTGGTCTGACGGTTGCTCTGAGTGGAAACTTTGGGGCAGAAGAACCTCGTTGGTTGAAATTTATTTTAAGTGGAACACAAGTCACCATACTCGACGGCAACATACTTGCCATCATGACCTTCAGGCTCATGAGCATTTCCATAGTGAAAATTTTGAAGGATGGTTGTGATGATTACTTAGTGCTGTTTCAAACCCAGAAGTGTGATAGCGCCATCGAATCAATTCTAGAGAGCCTTGAATTGTTCCTGATAAAGGTAAAAACGCAAAGGTGAAAGAATTTATTTGTATACCTGTAACAGTTACTTTAGGTTAGCTCAAGCCTCATCATCACAGAGCTGAAATAACTCAAATTCACTGAGGCCTTCTGCGCATCTGAGTCACGGAGATCAAACATCACTGCATTGTTTGCGACTGAAATTAAAACCATTGTCATCAAATGCTAGTATCAATATTGAAATCAAATAAAAATTACCTATAGCTCATACACAAACGTGATCTATATAGCACTTTGATTAGAATTCTTAATCTGCACTAGCCAAGGCTCAGAAAGCCCGCAGTCACCTCGTAGTAACTCTAACTCGCGTACATGCACCAGCAACGCATAAATTTACAAATTGAGCTGGAATATTTCATTTTATAAACTGAAGTTAATTCACATATAGGGTCAGTGATATTTTTGTACTCTAAAGTATTTTTCGAATCTCAAATTTATAGAAAATATAAAAGCCATAAATTTCTTAACTCTGTTTAATATGGCGTCTACAGTTTCAAAAATAAAATATGCATTCACAACTCTACTCATTAACGGGCTCCGAGTTTTTGGTTTGCTCTGCTATGACGTCGCTGATGAAGGAACAAAAATTTCTCCTTTCTGGTTTTTGTATGCAGTTGCGATGCGATTGATCGTTTTGCTTTCCTTCCGCTCCTATGTTAACCCAATATATAAGGTTTCGGTCTATGAGTGATGTTGGCCAAATTACTCTCACGGCGATGCTGGCGGCTAACTTTCTCTGCAGTTTTTCCGGCGGAAACATACTCTTATCACGAAGCTGTAAGTTATCTAAGCTCATTCATCTCCATTTCTACACCGAAAACCAAAAGAATGAAACTAAGTCAATCGTATCGACTTTAATAAAATTTGGTAATTCTGAAATTCGTAATTCTTGCGACTGTAAGCTTGCGTTGGTCTGACGGTTGCTCTGAGTGGAAACTTTGGGGCAGAAGAACCTCGTTGGTTGAAATTTATTTTAAGTGGAACACAAGTCACCATACTCGACGGCAACATACTTGCCATCATGACCTTCAGGCTCATGAGCATTTCCATAGTGAAAATTTTGAAGGATGGTTGTGATGATTACTTAGTGCTGTTTCAAACCCAGAAGTGTGATAGCGCCATCGAATCAATTCTAGAGAGCCTTGAATTGTTCCTGATAAAGGTAAAAACGCAAAGGTGAAAGAATTTATTTGTATACCTGTAACAGTTACTTTAGGTTAGCTCAAGCCTCATCATCACAGAGCTGAAATAACTCAAATTCACTGAGACCTTCAGAACGATGTATAATATAAACTGGCGTGTTGGTTGGGCTGTCACCTATGATCCGCTTCAAGTTGTGAATGGATAGGTTTATACATTCTTTCTCAGTTAACTTAATGTAACTTTTTCAGATAACTTATGCATTTGTATTCAGATAACTTAATATCGTTGTAGCCATTTAAGGTGTTATAGTTACTCGAAAGATTTCACTGTTAAAATTATCTCTAGCTGTGTTCTCGAACTTTCGATTTGATAACGGAAGTTGTTTCATAAAATTTATCGGTAAAATTGTGCATAATCATTCTGTATTTTGATGATCATTGACTGTTAAATTGATTAAATTGTTATTTCAACAATCAAACGATCCTGAGAATGCAAGTATATTATTTACCTTTACGGTGTTTATTCCGTGATTGTGTGAATTTTCATAGTTTATTGTATAAATTTTGCACTGCGAAACTTTTTGTTTCGCCAAAAATTATTTTTTTTTGAGGAAAAGTGTCATCCAGATAGACACATTATTGTAACATTTAAATCAACTGCAAATATTTTTATGTGTCAAACCAATCATTTAATTTTACGCAGACTGAAACGATGAAGGCAGAGCTAATATCAATCTTCGCATGGATCATCACGCTGCAGGTAGCGGCAATTAGCGTAAGCATTGCCGTGCATCTCAGTTTACTGGCATCAAACGTCATCCGTTCCGACTACCTGTGCTACATGGGGCCAAATATTGGCATCTTGTGCACGTTGTTCAACACAGACCAACAGTTCATCAACGAGGTCAGGATTTGATATAGCACCTTATACCAAGGGATTTGAACTGTTAACCTCCTACATATATGTGAAATGTCTGTTACAGTTTGATAAATGGTGTTATGAACCTAGTGAGTTTGAGCGTGATATTTAAAGCTGTTTGTGAACTTAGTGAAAGCAATCCGTACATGATAATTCGCTTGCCGTTTTATTTGATTTTCCTTTCTAACAATAATAAATTTCTTCAAAGAAACTTAATTCTTTATAAATTTGTTATTATCTGGTTCAATACTACCATGTTTTAATATCTTTTCAGTCGATACCTGGCAGTCAAATTAATGTTAGATTGGGTTTGTTTTGCAGAGTAGGAAAATCATTAACTTAAAATGCATAAGAATTGCACAACATTTCCAGGTGAAGAGCATAGAGGCACAGTTGAGCGAGTTGACCAAGCTTAGCGCCAAGTGGCCTCGACTCTTCAAGCTCTCGGTGAGGAATGTGCCAGGAAATGGTAACCCCTTATGGATAAAACATTAGTGAATGAAATTAATAAATTAAATAAACTACAAACAGAGGCACAATCTGACCTTGGCTTAGAGTATTTTTTCTGTAATATAATTCTCATGCTGACAAAGATGCCACCTACCCTAAAATTTGCTTGTGCTGCCACCGAATTAACGGTAGCAACTCCTCTTCAAGTATTTATTTTATTATTACGCTCAAATTATTAACATTAATTACAATATTTTAAATTATATTAATCGTGTACGAGATGAAGATAAATGAATGTGTACAGGCACATCGGGTGCTGCGGCAGCTGAAGCGCATGGCGGACTTCAGCATCGGGGACGCGTACTCCCTGAAGCACAGCTCCCTCCTGGCCGTGAGCTTCACGAATAGATTAGTAGAAATTAATTAATGAGACGAATATCGATGAAAACAATTTCTATTATAAAATGCTGCGATCATTTTAAGTGGTACCAGTCACTAACCAGTCACTTTAAGTGGTACCAGTACTTGAGTTGGCGGTACGTTAATTTAAGCAATATCTCGATCTGTCTCAACGGAAAAATAAGGAAAAAAATAAAACTATAGATTGCATACTGTACAGACTTCATCATTCTGGGATCGTGATTGATGTATCTTGCTCGCCCCTGATCGTAACTGAGGTCACCCAGTGAAGCAGCGTTTAAAGTGTCAGATTGGAAGTTTTTGGATAGAAATATTCCGAAAATTCCGTAGCTCTTTAATCAAATTAAGTCTAATCAAATGAACATCTTGGTTGAATTTTACGTACATCATCATAATGAGGTGTATGTAACGTTGCTTTTCAAACGGTCGAGGTAACATGTGTGGATAAATAAGTGAATTAATCTACACAGGTGCTGAATGCGTGTGTTGGCTGGCTGGTGCTGCAACTGGACACTAAAATTGTAGAAAGCCTGAAGAAACATGGCATCACTGACCGAATCTTAACTTACGGAGTCAGAGAAAAACTTTTAGAAAAAGACGTGATAATATGTCCTGTGAACGTTGAAGGATACCACTGAATTTTGTGCATAGTTTGCCCAAATCTCGAAGTAATAGCATGTCTGGACAGCACTCATCAAGTAAATAGGCCGATCCTTGAAATGTTGTCACAGTTTTTGGGAGCGCTCAAATGGATCCAAGCAAAGGAATCCAAAAATTCGAATGGACCTTCAATGCACCTCAGGACATCGAGCGTCAAAAGAACAGTTTTGACTGTGGAGTGTACGTCTACTTAGGGGCAGAAAAAGTCTGTGGGATCGATGTAACTCTAAAATCTTCTGATGAAAAAAGAAAATACATTTTGAATGAGTGTAAAAAAATACAAAGTTGAACAATCATGCGACGTTATTACGAAACAAATTTGGGATGTACCGACATGTTATGAAAAAATTACTATATCAACCAAAGTTCCACTAGGCTTGTCATCCACTGCTGATTTATTGGCTGAAATAAGGTCCAACAAATTTGTGGGTAGGTTTCAGCGCTGTTTTCTATGAGTTTCGTGCAAGAAACCAACTGACACAACAATGGTATTTTGTGAGGGCGAACGGTGTCGTGACTGGTACCACGTAGCCTGCGTTTCAAACCGTAGGAGGCTACCTAAGGGTAAATATTTGTGTCCCTTGTGCTCGAAATCATAATAATATGCACAATATTTAACGTGAAATTAAAAAGAAATATTAATTTCCATTCTACTTGAATACATTTCATCAAGCAAAGAAATCAAGTGGAACTTATTTTAACGTAAAGGGATGTTACCCGGATAATGAGATTATAAAGAGAGCTTTGCTAATAGTTTATCAATCGTGCAATGCATTTAACGATGAACCAAAAACTATGTACCTTGCAAATTCAGGAGCAAAGGAATTAATAAAAATTTGGCTGATTGCACTTTTTTTAACCTTAGAAGCTATAGTGCCTCTAGGAGCGAGAGAATAGAATACTATAAGTTTTGCTGTCTAGTGGAAAGTGGTCATCACTCCGCACACTTTTGGTTTAATATTCTCCGACATATCAGCGTTTAATTAGTTAAACCGTAGAGGTCATTGTGCGCTAAGCACTATTGGCGAGTGCTAAATGTTGTGGTCGAGTGCGGAGTGATTATTTACAGTGAAAAAGTAATTGATTCACCTTATTTCATCACTCCGAACTCTTTAGGTTGAAAAATCTCTGAGATATCGGCCCGTATGCTAAATAGGGCACTAGCACTACGAAGTAGCACTACGCACTACAAGCCGTAGTGCTTGCTAAATAGGGCACTAGCACTATGAAGTAGCACTACGCACTACAACCCATAGTGCGGCATGGAACACTACGGTTGGTATGCTAAATAGGGCCAAAAGCATAACGCGCACTACAAAAATCTGAAGTGTCCTACACACCGCACTTCACGACGACACTACGGTATATTTCACCTTGTTTACTTCGTCAGCTTTGGATCTGTTTGGCTTACAGCAAAGGCATCATCGCGTAAAGACCTCAGGAACAGCATGCCAAGAATATGTAACAAAGTGTAACGCTTCAGTGAATAACATGTTATTCTTATGGCTGACATTTTCCTTGGCGAAACAGATGAGCAGCGTAGAAGTAGAAAATACTTTTCTTGTTTTTGATACCATGTTTTGAATTTTCTTTTTTTAGTCATTTTAATTCTTCTGCAAGAACTTTCCATGCTTCTCTCTTTTGTTCGATGTCTTTGGGAAGCGTGGACTTTGAATAAATGATATGAAAGCTGCGTAGACGCATTGCGAATTTCAGTTCACCATCACAATTTTCACTAGTACCATTACCATCACAATTAGACATTTTACACCAATCTTCTGCAAAGAATGAGAATTAATTAGAGAATAATTAATTATTTGAGCACTTAACTACCATTCTTCAATAGACTCATAGCGTAGTGCGGCACTATAAAGTACTCTAACAGCGAAGTAGCACTTCAAAGTCTTTCTGCATACGAATCAGTAGTGCGACACTAAGCGACACTAAACATTGTAGAGCTACTTCGAAGTGCTTAGTGTCTGTGACGTATTTAGCATACCAACAGAACACTTCGTAGTGCATAGTGCTACTTCGTAGTGCTAGTGCCCTATTTAGCATACGGGCCATCAGCGTTGAACCTGTGAAACCTGAAGTGATCGTCAGGTTTTACTTGAATTGAAAGGTGATTAATCGTTTAACATGTTTAAACTTAGAACGGGTATAACTGCCTCAAACGCTATGGTTCAAGATTTTCGTCTCTTTTGACACTAGTGTTATATATGTTATTGGTGGTATGCTATTGCAGTGTCTGCTTCTAAAATTACGGAATCGCCCGATTCTCCGCCGCATTCGATCGATCCATTATTCGCCACATGTTGTCATGTTCCTCACTTCAGCAAACCTCTCATTGTATGAGAAAAAATTGTGTCTTACTAAATAAATTGTCCGTGGGTTCACTGAGAAGAAATATGTTACAATATTAACAAGGAAAATATCATTATTCATGCAGTTGGCCATTTAATTGTCAGTTTCAGAAAAATTCTAATGAACTATTCTTGCGAGATGAGTTATATAAGTCTTCTGAGTAGGTAGGACTCCGTAGGAGTAATCATGTGCTGGTGAATAGACCCATTTACGAGATATAGATGCATTTACAAGATTAAATAGGCAGTTTTAGTGTGCATATGAATGATGTATACAGGTGGGTTGATACATATTAGAGTGGGTTATAAAAACATAGGTAAGTCTTGATAAGCGGGTTATAAAAACATAAAACTTGAGTCTTGAGGTTATAAACATAAATATATAAAGTTATAAAAAAGATTATATATATGGGTACTAATTTTTTATATCATTCATTTATTTTTTCTATGTAATATTTATATTTTATGTCACCTATAGGCAGGATGGAATTCTAATTTTGAAGGTTCATATATTATTTCGATCCACCAAGACCACTTTTTCTATCCAACATTGTTATTTGAGGCAAAAAATGAACTTCTTAAAGGCATAAAATACATAGGCTAACTTGCTCAGTTTCTATAAAGTACCTAACCACTTGGAAGTTTTATGCCTGCACCTTTCACTCAACAATTAAACTTAGACTTATATAAAGTATTAGTTAGTTAAAAGTTTGTCTCTTAAGTTGACCGCAATGAACTAAACTTCATTATGTAATCATTAGGCAGGGATTTCCATCATGCGACACTAAACACGCAATTCAGAGTTCAGACGATCAGAACTACATCACATGTAAGCTATCGTGATACTGAATTGAATACCTAGCGGGATGCGGGATGATTCCCGCTAGGTATTCAATCTAGCGGGATGATCAATGAACTAACATTGATCATCCAGAGTCGAACAATCGCTCATAACAGAGTCGAACTAATCACTCGTATCGCTGTCTCTTATACACATCTAGATGTGTATAAGAGACAGGTTTATATGATTTCACTGCAGTGGAAGGTGAGGTGGTGTAACGCGGTGGTAGGGTTGATTTTTCGATACGTTTTCATATATTAACATGAGAATATATTAACTATACAGAATTCCACACTGCCTATAGGTATAGGGCAGTATAGGCTATAGAAATATTCACTAGACTCCTGCCGCGTCCTGCGTCTCAAAATAATTTTCTCGAAATGAACCGGGACAGACGAAACGAGATGAGAAAATTCCGTGAAAAAAATAACAGGACAGAGGGTAAAATTTGTCCCGGAATAAACATATGAACCGAGACAAGACTTCTGTCCCGGACTTTAAAACTTGTGTCCCGGTAAATTATGAACTAAGGTGAGTGGGTAACGTAAGTTACGTAACCCCCATGTTAGTAAGTTGCGAAAAAAATCGGTTTTCCGATGCCGACCGCCAAAAATGGATTTCAGATTCGTAATCTACACCCCAAAAAACATATAATTAAAAAAAAAACACCCTTTTTTTGGATGTAGTTAATCTGCAATAATACCCATAATGAGCCGAGACGAGATTTGTCTTAATTATTTGAGAGTCTGAGACAAAACAAGTTTTTTGATTACAATACGAATCATTTTGAAAACATGGGTTGAAGAATGACAAGTAAGCCCTTTATTGCTAATAGGGACATAGACAGTTACAAGGTAAATTGAGTTAATTGCAGATTTAACATAACATAACATAACTTAGTGCTCTCGGCCAGGCATGAAATACCTATATCTACTTGGCAAGCCGCAACTGAATTTTTTGAGCCATGGTTTTATGGATTTGCCAGCCGTGATTCTATTTCTTTGAGCCGTAATTCCATTTCTTTGAGCTCAGAGCTGTGATTCCATTTCTTTGAGCCATGATTCCATTTCACCTAGCGTGAGCTGTGATTCCATTTCACCTAGCCTTGGAATTCCATATCTCGGCCATGAAAAGCCATTTACAAGGCGCAAATTTATTTACAACGTCCATGCATCATGATGCACCTGCTACCCCAAATCTCTAATTTACCCTAAAACAGTCAAATGGCAACAATAAAATTTGTCTTTACTGTGAGTTGAGGCTGTTGAGCATGTGTTAATGCAGTCTGACCGCTTTGACATGAGCGCAACTATGCGCGATCTTCAACAAAACGTTTACCGTAGTTGATTTGTTTACATTACGATGTTTATGTTTTTCTTCAGGATATTTTGGCGGGAACGGTGAAGCAATGCAGATTGTGAAAGTTAAAAATTTTATGAAGTGACATGTTTGCGAAGTGCAAACTGCAAACCGTGATTTTTCAATCAAACAAAAATTTATGACATTTGAGCCGAGAGATTTCATACCTACTGAAATTATATGATATTAGAGCCGCGATATTTCAGACAAAAATACGACTTTTCCAGCCCTGCTCTCGGCGCTGCAGTGAAGGCCTGATGTGGCCTGTCGCCGATTCTTTTCCTTTTCGTGCCTTGTTCACAAAAGATCTAAAATCGTGTCATTTGACCGGATCTTTTCACGACTGACGATAGTTCAAAGTAGCTACTAGACTTCCGCCGGGTTCGATAAGCTTACCATAGCTTTATCTAGTCTATTTTTGAACGCGTTCATACTTGGAGCGCCAACGATGTCATCGGGGAGGCTGTTCCACATGTCGGTGATTCGAAGCGAGAAGAAATTTTGTCACATGGAGAAGTTGCAGCGCAGTTGTTTTTAGCTTATAGCCGTGGCCCCTGGTGTTGGTTCTTGTTTCAAATTCTAGTAATCCTTCGGGGACCTTGCATAGACCATGAGTATACTTGTATACTTCAATGAGGTCTCCGCGCAGACGTTGATAACTGAGGCTTTGAAGCTTCATAATCTTCAATCTCTCTTCATAGGACCTGCCCTTCAAGCCTGGAATTATCCTTGTTGCACGTCTTTAGCAAAATTTGTCTGACTAACTGACATGGCAGTTAATTAGTGGTCCGACAAACACCGCAAACCTGTCGATGTATGAAAGGCTGAGTATTGAGTCACAAATGTAACTCTTAAGTATTAACTAAGGCTTCGATGGCACTTTTTGGAAACCGTACGAATATGAGTCAAGTTTATTACGCGTTCGAAACGAGTTCAGGCGCCGTGGAGCGCATAGGGAGTAGGAACGCAGTGTCTAGATTAGTCGGCCAATTAGTAGACAGTGGAGTGGAGACCTGGTAAGATATTCCTAATAATACTAAAGCTAGTATTAGATTATCTCTGCCTTTAGTAAAATTTTGTGCTAAGCCTGCAGGAAATCTGCACAATTGCGCAGTTTCCTGAATTGTTATCAAACACTTGGGCTTGTTCAACGTTATTTATTATATTTTTTCCAACTTGAACTTCGTTGTATTTTAAAATGTTGTTAATTTTTCTTTCCAAACTTTTTTGTTGAAGGAGATTGCTTAAGGCAAGATTGATGAATCTGATTCTGTGATAGAGCTGGAGGCAAATTAAAGTCTGTCCAGTCAGCCGATGTCACCAGCTACAGCTAGTATGGCCTCCTCCAAACCATCTTAGAACACAATTTTTGAAAAAAAACATGTTTTTCCATTTTTATTTGCCTGTTTAGATTAACTACCATATTAAACCGCAACATGTATTTGTAGCAAAAATCATTTCAATTGCCAAGCTCCTATCAGAATAGTAAAAGGACACATCTCAAGTTATTATATAAATGCAGAGGTGGGCAGTGGCGCGCTACATGTAGCGGCCGCTACATTTTCAGTAGCGGTAATGGCGCTACATTTAAGCAATTGTAGCGGTAGCAGTAGCGCCCGCTACATATTTAAGTAGCGATACGAGGTTTTGCCACTACAGCGCCACCGCTACATTTATAGATAAAGCCTTTAGATTTTACTTAATAGTATTAAAGATTATTTAAAAATCAGCATGATACATACATAATATAAATTACAGAATAAAACTGTACCGTTATGAACAATTTTGGTGTAATGTTGTCAACCTCAGCCTGTTAATAGTGTCAACATGTTTGTTGTTACCAGAGGTGGGCAGTAGCGCGCTACATGTAGCGGCCGCTACATTTTTGGTAGGGGTAGCGGCGCTTTATTTAAGTCATTGTAGTGGTAGCGGTAGCGCCTGCTACATTTAGAGCATGTAGCGGTAGCGGCCGCTACATTTCAAAGTAGCGCTGCACAGCTCTGTATAAATGTATGACGGTAAGCCAAAGTTTACACCACATCAATAATTGATTCGTCTCGTTATATCTCGTTAAAATGGCTGTAAATTCCGGGAAATTTTAAGGTACCTGTTTTAACCGGGATGTCTCGTCTCGTCTCGGTATCGTCCCGGAATTCCAACGGAGGGCTGAAAATTGTCCCGGTTTTTATTGCGAACCGGGACAGAGCCTGTTGTCTCGTCTCGTCTCGGATTAAAAAAAATACCAAACGCAGGAGTCTAATATTCACTGTACTGAAGTGTTGTCATGTTTTTATTCACAGATTCAATATGAAATTCCACTGATTATTTTTTTGCAAGAATTTTAATTTTATATTGGCAATTTTGAGTTTCCTAAATGATTTTGCAACAATGTCTTCCTCTCCAGTTTGTGTTACCATAAATCCACCATCACCACACATTGACACAATGGATAGATCTTCCTCTGCATCACCTAACATTGTAGATGGATGTCCTTCACAAAGCTTGAAGAAGGCCAAGAAAGCAGACCAGCATAATAATAAGAAGAATGGTTGCAAAAAACGATGGTTCACTGCCAATGAGAAATCAGTCCTTCAGCAACTGGTTCTGGACAATGAATCTGTGATTCTTTCGAGAAGAAATGATGGAGTCTCAGTGCATCTGAAGAAAGAAGTCTGGCTTGGAATTGCTGAAAAATTCAACCATCATCCACAAACTCTAACTCAGAGAAATTCAGTTGAACTTCGAAGATGCTGGGAAAATATGAAATTTAAGGCAAAGAAAACTCTTAACAGGTATGAAGTAAATTTGATTTTAACTATGGTTAAGGAGTTGGATCAGTTAATGATAAATTTTTATTGTACATAACTTTTTGTATTGTACATACTTTTCTTATTCAGAGAAATTTGATTATTTTAATCTTTCACTGATAAGATTGAGCTGTAAAATTTGTTAATACAACTAAGTGTTTATAACATTTACCCTTAACTAGAGTGCAGCAACACATTGAGGCAGCTAGAGCAACAGCTAATTCAGCTGGGATTCCATTGAATGGAGAAGACATGGCTCCCAGCTTGGTGATGGAAGGTGTTTTGGGCTTTCCAGAACTGCTATTCACAGACACACTCCGCAATACATGTCAGCCAATGACAAAACTTCATGATTCTCCCTTGCAAAATTCAATGTATACTATGGTTGGATCAACTCTCCCTGCTAATATCAATAAATTGCTTCTCAGTCCTCAAGAATTTAACATAGAAATGTTTGATGACAGTATGGATGGTCAAACAAAAAAAGCTAAAACTGTCCTGGAGACTTCAATATATGATTCCTCTACATCACTTGGGAATAATCCCAACATTTCCTGCTTCCCTTTTTCCAGCACAGTGTCCTCCAGCAGTTATTCCTGTTTTGCTCTTACAAATGTTTGTTCAACATCTCCAACAATAGCACCTCTTAATCTTTCAAGTGAGACTCCACTTTCTACTTCACCTGATCTTACCTGGCCAACTCTAGTGCACTCAACCTCCTTTGCAGCTGTGCAAAAGGGAGATCAAAATTGCCAATCCGATTCTGTAGAAGATAATTTGAAACAAGAGAATGATCTTTCAATATACTATAATTCTCAAAGTAACTTGATGGATGACAGTCTGAAGCAACACAGTCCAGAACTAGAAGATTTAATGGACAAAGCTCAGTGTTTTGAAACTTCTCCCATATTACCTGGAGATCCTGATGCTGTGCATGATGATGTAAGTCCCACATCAAATTGCCTGACACCATTTCCTGCTAGCTCAGCTTCATCATTGGAATTCACAGACCTTGATAAATCTGCCATCAAGGCTACAAATCTGAATATTAAAATATCCGAGTCAGCAGATTCACACCAAGAGGAAGCTGCTGTAATGCTTCTGCCAAGTGTCACTGCATTTCTCTCAGGTGAGATTTTGCCACGCAGAAATTTCATCACTTTGTTTTATCTTAATTTATATCTAATAACCACATGGCAACTTCTGCCACTTTACCTGCAGGCTGTGAAGTAATTCATGTCCATTTCTTCACTAACTCTCTTCTTGCAAGGTTTGTCTTTGAATTCTTATTCACTAATCCTGCTCATCTACTGGTAAAAAGCTCTTCACATCCCTATTCCATTTCTTTGAGCTGTGTCCTGAATCTTTTTTTCAGCAGTCAGTATTGTCACTTAAATTAGAATCAACTGGATGTTACATCATCTCTCTTTGATCAACTTGTAATACCATCTACTACCTATCTTATACTGAAAACACTTAGCATACTAGTTTGTTTTGCATCATTTCTCATCAAGGTATGGACTTCTGGCATATGGTACCTACATCATTGAGTTAGCTCTATGTAGAACATATCTGTTGAAATTTGTTTAAATGTTTGTTGAAATTAGTCTGTTATATATTGTTTCACCTACAGCATAGTGCAAGTAGCTGCTCAAAATCTGGTATGGAAACCGTATTTTAAATTTTTTATTTTTTTTTTACAGTGCTTGAGAGGCATCCATACAGCCGCAGTTTAATGGCCCAGCAGTTCTCTGTACTGAATTCATTGCATGACATCCACCATCAACCCAATAATTTGGATGAGTGTTTAGATCTCAGCTTGAAGTCCTCAGGAAAGAGTAAAGAATACAAAGAGATATGCAAGACAGAACCCAGTACAACAGTGACTGTCCAATCATCGGAGGCTACAGACTTGACCAAAGAGTCTGGCTACAGGAACGATGACACTATGGACTCCTTTTATTGCATTGGCAAAGAAGCCATGGAAGATGAAAAGAAAAGTGATAAAACGCTTTTAGCTAATAACAAAAGCTCTTCTGATTTAATTTATACCCCATTTGATGTTCAATTAACTATTAATTCTAATCATTTTGGTCCACTTAATGGAAGTGAATTAAGTGATTCTCACTCAACTCTACCTGAAATTGTTTTGTCCAATTCTTCAGTCATGCAAACTCTATTCCCTCCAAGCCCAACTAGAAGCATTCTTTCCCTTTTGAAGCACAATAGGCAAAGCACAAATAAATTTGAAAGCATGTGGACATCTTCTGTTCCTCCCAGAGCAGCCACTGGCTTCCCTCTGAAGAATGACAGCTCCTTAAATAGCAATCCATTTGGTGCTAAATGTGAGGATTCAAGTACTGAAAATCTCGGTTATCTTTCTCATATTAATTGTACAAACATTTGTTCTCCAAAAATGGGTCCTGGTCCACAGCCATTTAATTTAGAGACTTTCAGTAATATGAAGATACTAAATAGCATAGAACCCACGTCATTCTTGAATGCCTCGCTTCTGAAACAAAATCCTATTGGGAATACCAGCCCTCTCTCCCGGGAGAATAACTTGCTGGAGAGCATAACGTTCGAGAATGCATTGCTATCTGAGCGTCTTCAGCTCCTGCAAGAGCAGCAGCAAGACTTGTCTGCTCAACACACACAGAAGCTTCACCTTCTTGACCAGGAACACAGAGAACGGCTGGCCATCTTCCATGAGGAACTCACCATGAAGAGGGCGGCGTGCCAACTCATGTTGGAAAAAGCACTGCGCTCAGCCAAGCAGCCGTAACTTTTTCTTGCTCTGAAGGACATTCATTTAATGCTATTACTGCCGTTTTGTTAGAGGAGTGGTTCTTTAAATCCTAGTTTATTTGATTTATTTATTCAATTGCAAGTAAGGAGTAAGAATGAATGAATAATTTATGATCTCATAATAGTAATAATTTATGAAAAGTTTCTCATTCAACCAATAGAGTTATATTTGTGATAGATATTTATACCTTTAATTTTTGCATATTAATTTTATTTTTACTTGATTTTGTACAATTTTTCAGTGTCAGTTTTTTTTATCTTTGACATTTTCCAAACTACTTGGTTCTATTTTGAATTTTGTTGCTAAGTTTTAATTTGATTTCCATGATCTTGATAATTTTATTGAGATAAAATTAATTAAATTACACATTTACGAACATTTCGTAAACACTATTGAGTGTAGGTACTTTGAGGCTACATCATCACTGTGCTTGTGTCCTTGACACCGTCGGTTGATTCACGCTCGATGAAACACAGCAGTTCTACGATAATAAAATTTTTGAGTGATGGTTCTGAAATATCATTGCGTGGTTGCCAGCTTTTATAATTCACCCATTAAAAATTTGCAAGTGCGAGATACCGTCTATAGCAATGTCTTTATCATAAGAATCTTTGTGTGGTCACATGCAGGCTATGAAAGTTTTTTTGTTTCACTTACGGATACATTAGGTAGTTTTTTCTTTAGCTTACCTAGTAAGATAATGGAAGGGAAGGTTGCGGCTTTTTATTACTTAAGGTTCTGAAGCTAGTCGTTGTCAGTGTGCAATGTAGATGAAATACCAAAGATTTAATGCCTGTGATTACTTTAGTGTTTATATGTGTTGTGTATAGTTTTTATTTTTAGTGTGCCGGGTACCCACGCGAGCAAAGGGCGACTCGGGTGGCAGACGGAGAAGGTGGCGAAAAATGGAAGGTAAAAGTTGCGGAGTGATGAGAGAACGTGAAGCATAGTGACGTATGGAAGAAATTTGAGCGATCAAAATATTTAAGATTGGTTCGAGGAGAGCAGAACTGATCCAAATGAAAATCATGGAGCCCGCCCATCGGCGCCTGTGACACCGGGCCTCTGCAGTTTGGATCGCTCGCAAGCGTCGCGGGCTAGAGCATACTCGCGGCCTCGGTTCTAGGGTCGCAGTAGCTCGTCTGGGTTCTTTTTCTGTGAACTATTTTTGATTCACAATTGCCCATCATTTATTTCGGTATTACAGCTCGCTGGACTTTCATTACTGGAATAACCTCTTCATGACTAGGCTGCGTTTCAGTTTTCATTTATATTTGGTAACCTTTTTTGAAAGTTGCTATTATATACGTACAGAAACTACATCGTGTATTTTTGACTTGAAAATTTCAAATACGACGCTTTGTTTACAGCTCTCGCGATGATTTGTCCGCGTTAGTCTTGATTTTTAACGATGTGAAGTGTTATCGTGCAGATATTTACAAGTGTAAATAGTGTGGCTATGTAGGTATGTGCTAGTGACTGTCCCATAAGATGTTCTGTAGATACGGTATTCTTCCACTCGTGTTGACTGTTTGACGAAATGTGTTGTTATTCGAGGCCAATTTTCCTTTCGATGTTTCCCATCACATGTTGTTGCTTTCCCACCAAATGTTGTTCCTATTAAATTTGTTTTGTCGTTTTTAAACTGAAATTAATTTATATCATTTAGGGATTAAGCATTCCTGTTGTACATGTACTTGAGAACTTTCAAAGATTATTTGCAGGCGATGAATAACCCCGTTTTCTCGGGTTTTACTTTCATACTCAAAGGAATTTTTTTCACTGCATTTTCATAAATTGGATCATGATATTCATGGAAAATGTTCCTGCCTAAGCACAAAGGGGTGTTAGTTCCAATGAAGAGATATTTTCCTATGAGTCTGTTTCTGTTTGTGAAAATATAATATTGGGGAAGTATCAAATAGCAAAACCAATATTTTATCATTGAGAAGATTACTTTTTCTTGAAGTGCGAACGAAAATTGTACGTTGAGGTGAGCCTGACACTGCACTATGTTCGTCCTCCACATGACGCTGCTGTTGTATGTGTGCTGTGTAGCGTTGCCATCTTACCCTGTGATACGAACTGCCCTCTGTTACCTCGGAGCTTTGCTGTAGCCGTAGTGGTAGAATCCATGTTGGTGGATGTTGTAGTACCTGGCGCTGTACCTGTTGCATGTAAAACACTTAACATTTAGATTTGTTCGCTTGATCGCTGTTAGTCCTATGGGATTTAGCGCTCCTGGGGGCATTGTTCCTGAGCGCCCCACTGCGGGTCTCAGTTATGTAGTTAAGTTATTATGTAGGCAGGATTCCTTACATTTCTCTTCTCTGTCTCTCTCGTGCGGGCGGCCGACGTCCCGTGTAAGTAACCGTTTGTTCGAGTATCTTAGTTTCTGTTGCTTTTCACCTGTCCCTCCTTGTCACTTCGTCTCTTTGAGATGCTAACGCTGTTTTTTTCGAGCCAGCTTCAGCGGGCTGGACAATTGAGACCTTCCGCCCCCTTGTGGGTGATAAACAATTTTTATTTATTTAAGAAATTTTCAATAAGTGAGACCTCCCATCTCGTTGGTGATGTTCATCTTGAATTTCGGTGCGAGATAGCTAAATAGCTGAAGCACTGGTAAACATGTGGCAACTAAACTAGGTAACTAACTAACTTGATCGCTTTTAGTGAACAAGCTTTGACTTAGATTGTATTGGTACTATGCTTCATTTTGCAATGCAGGTGCTCATCCATTTAATATAATAGATTTTCATTTAAATGTTTAGAAAAGTTGCAACTATATCATCAATATCAATCTTGTAGAAAAAATTTCCATTCAACTCAGACCCTTTCCTCCAGTTCCGAATTTAATCGCGCAGCAGATCATCGACATGAAGAAAGAATATTCATTGGTGAGTAGTCGCCAATTTTTTGAAGTAGTTCTGTTAATATCACAGTATGTTGAAAAAAAAACGCATTGCATAGTCCACGTTCCTGTTAAACATCGTGTTCCTGGAAATAAGCTTTCACATAACTTTACGAAAGCTTGTCACATATTCCAATAATTTGTCATATTTGAGTGTCATCTATATTAGATCTAGTCGTATATTTCGAATCTTTCTTATGTGTGGGTGTAGTTCAAGTCGCTGGAAATCACTCATTTTAAGTCTTTTATGTTCGGTTGTGATCTAAGCTTGTCACAAAATTTAAAAATTTGTGATTTTCAGGTGTAGTGTGTGACTTTAGTCGCAACCGTAATTATAAAAGAGCCACTCTGTTGCTCCATGAATAAGAAAGGACGTATACTATTGTCATAGAGTATAAAAAATTTAGATACCAACTATATTTATATCTGGAGAAGAAAGTATGAACACGCCCTACCCCGAGTTGCCGTAGTAGACATCCGATATCTTTACGGCTTAAATATGATGCTGATCCGTCGTACGTAGGGACGCTTACGTTTCTTTTGTCACAGTTAGTCAATCCGATCTTCCCAGGCCATGCCACACTGTGCAGCTTTAAGGGGACCGACTACCTTAAAATTTTCAATTTTGGCGTTTTCCGGTTTTTGTGCTCATCTTAAAGCTTAGTTTTTGACGCATCCAACCGTACCAGAATCATCCCTCTACGTCGAAAAATGATTTCGTAACAGCCCCCCGAAGTGGAGGAGATAGATTTTCTAAAGTACCCCTTTTTAGCCGTTTTCTATGAATTTCACGTTTTCTATCAATTTTTTCGAAAAATTCATAGGAGCAAAATGTTATTTTTTTTCGCATTTTACGTATGTATGTGAAGTTTAATGATGATCGGATAATAACTGTAGAAGTTTTTCCGGAGGGTAGTCGGTCCCCTTAAGACGGTTATGTGAGAAAATCAGTCGTTTTTTGTTATTTTCAATTTGCTTTTGGATATTTTTGTAGAACTTGTGATAGAAAATATATTGTGTATTTAGATAGAATTCTGTGTATTTACTCTCGTCTACATCCTTCTGGATCCTCCATTGATAGTAAGAAACTAAATTGTTACCAACTGGATTAATTCTCAACTGCTGAGTATTGAAGTGGAAAAGAATCAAACGAATACGGCGACGGCTTCTCCTGATAAAGGTAAGCTAACTCATTCTGTATTCAATTGCTGCAATATTATACCGTGAATATTGTGTCACATATGGAACCTTTTCATTCTAATATTTTGATCGCTAAGTAATCTATTCAATATTTTTATCGCGCACGAGCGAGTTTCTGTGCAGAAGAGCAATCAGGCGCAGATGCGGATTATGTTGCCGCGGAAGCTGCTTTACTTTCGGCTGCCATGCTCGTGTGTTGTTGCCATGACAACCGCGATCAAACAGGCACATGTTGAGATGATGTAGATATCGGAACACAACACAGCTGATGTTGGGCCAAGACATTCGCCTATCACGGCTTAGATTATTTTACTTAACTTGTTAGTTATTTAAGCTATATTTAACAGAGAGGGGGTAAACTTAAGGTAAAATTTTTACGTGTTTACAACAATGAGAAACAAAAGCCAGTAATCTTTAGAAGAACCTCGAACATTTCGCAATGGAAGGCGACGAAAGTTTTGTAAGTTCTCACGTAATATTTATTAAATGATGCCTTATGATAAAAAAAATGTTACTCAACGTATATTCTCAGAACAGTGCAAAGCTAATGTTCTTTTACTGTCGAAATGAAATTTACGTTCTTCAACACACGCGGTATGAAACTATGCATTTTACCTAAATGCCGCCAAATTAGGATGTAATTTCGATACGTTAAAGTAAAATGAAAAAACCAGACGCGCGAGAGAACTTAGATGAATTTTATCCCTTATAAGTATAGTAAATGAGGGACTAGTTATTTACTATTTACCCACGATAAATTATGAAACTAAAGTTATATGTGAGAGGTGTAGGTGAAATTCTGATTGTCTTATTTTTTGAATTAAGATTAGTGGACTATATGAAGAGTGAATGTACTAGCGTGAAGACGAGTGAAATAGCGTGCAGAGTGATTGTTCTACAGGAGAGACCAGTGGAGTAGCGTAAAAAGTGATTGTTATAGAGTGAAGACGAGTAAAGTAGCGTGAAGAGTGATTGTTCTAGAATCTAGAGTGAAGACGAGTAAATGAGCATAAAGAGTGATTGTTCTAGAGTGAAGACTAGTAAATGAGCGTATAGAGTGATTGTTCTAGAGTGGATACGAGTAGAGTAGCGTGCAGAGTGATTGTTCTATACTCTATAGTGAAGGCGAGTGGAGTAGCGTGCAGAGTGCTTGTTCCAGAGTGAAGACGAGTGGAGTAGCGTGCAGAGTGCATGTTCCAGAGTGAAGACGAGTGGAGTAGCGTGCAGAGTGCATGTTCCAGAGTGAAGACGAGTGGAGCAGCGTGCAGAGTGCTTGTTCCAGAGTGAAGACGAGTGGAGTAGCGTGCAGAGACGCTTCGCGTGTGAAGGGCTGCAGGTGGAGGACGCAGGAGGCGCTGTAGGAGTGCTGCACGTGTGGCGGTGGCTCACGGACGCGGAGTCTAACCTGAGGGCGGCGCGTCACATCAACGAGAAGCTGCAGCGCCAGCACCAGCAGGAGCTCGTGGTGCGGGTGATGTCTTTAGTGTATTTATTATATTTATTCATTTATGTATAATTTATTGACAACGTTCTTATGAGGTGCCTGAACAAGCCTTTCCATGGACGCTACCAGGACTTTACTTTCGAATATTTTTCACTACAGTTGATTTATTTAGGGAAAAAGAATATTTACTTTTGTCTGCTGTCGGTAACCCTCGTTACCCATATTTCCTGACAAGAAATAAATGCAGAGATGTTGTGGTTTAAGTCATAAAATGTTCTTCAGAGGCTGCAAGGAGAATTTGAAAAAATTGAAGCTCGCGCCATTGCCGCGGAGGACCTCTCGCACATCGTCCAGGAGAAACTTGACGATGCTTTGGCTGGTATTTTATCTGCGCTCTAGCATTCAACTTCATTTTTAACCCCAAACATAACTTTTATTCAAGACAACAACTAGAACTTTTTCTAACCCGTTACCACGAAAATTTTACTTGTTACATTCAACTTTATTCAACCGTTTGAATTCAACCATATTCGAACCCGTGAATTTTCTGTTCAAAACACTAACCACATAATTTATCTTTACTTTTTTGCGAGTTTTTATCAGATTCCACAGTAAACTTAATCAAGTAGCTTCTTTTTTATATCTAATTGATCAGTTCATGATCAGTTGTTGATCTATAGACCAGTTGTATGTTCGGTTTTTCATGGACGTTTCATGCTTCATACTGGCATTGCAACCAGAATCGTTGTGAAGTAAAACAAATAGAATTATCATGATATTATAATAACTCATAATAGTAGCATTGTTTGTGGGCGCGCAGGGAGGGAGGCGGTGGTCGCGATGCTCGGGAAAGAAGGTCTGGCAGACGTGGCCCAGGCGCCTCTAGGTGAACAGGTTAGTACTTCACATACACAAAATCTTAATATGAATTTGTTAAATGGAAAATATTTGCTCTGGAATTGAATAGAAGTGTCGGCACTGAAGAAATAGGCCCATGGCCTGTTGCCGATTCTTGAACTTTTCGTGACTTGATTCCATAAGGGATCCGGCCTTTGGAACCCAATCTTTCCCAAGCTGACGATTGATTGAGATAGCTGCCGGACTTCTTGCCTCTGGTCCGTAACTTGCTAGGCATTTTAAGACTGGACATATGCTCCTGCATAGCTTCGTCTAGTCTGTTCTTGAAGGCGTTCATACTCGGAGCGTCAACGATGCTATCAGGGAGGCTGTTCCACATATCGGTGACTCGAAGCGAGAAGAAATGTTGTCGCATGGATTTTTATTGTCGTCTTGAACATGTTAATTCAGTTCAAGACGACAATGAAAATCAGTTATTGGTTTATTGTCGATGGAAACATACTATTTTAATATAAATTATTGAAATAACAAAAAGTATTTTAGTTTCGCTTGCAGATGAAATCTTTTATCATAAATTTTTTTTGTGCTAGGGCTTTTGCCAGTTAGACATTGTTTACTCATAATACTTTACGTTTTTCTACTGACATTTTTTCGGTATTTTTTCACTCTGCTGATTTCTCTTGGCTTATCACGCGATGTTCCCAATTCTAATTATACGCCCAGAACTTGAAAACCAAACTGCGGTTTAACTCTTGGTGTCTCTCTGCGACCATGGAAATGAAAAAGTTTGAGAGCCGTACCATGAAAACTCTATTACGTACAAGTGATTTCTCGTCTGTGATTGGCGGGTTTAGTTTGTAGTGACTAGAAGCCGTCAGTGATAGGATGAGAGTTACGAACTGTTAGCTATTTATGCTAGTACGGCCTCAGTTCTCACCGTCCAAGTTTCCCGCAGATAGCTTACCTATTAGTAGAGCGCCGACGACTTCTGGAGGACGCGGAGGAATTACGAGGAAGTCCCGGCACAGACAGGGAGAAGGAACTCACCAACAACCTCATCAAAGTGAGTGTCCATGCGCCTATTTGGATTCATCGCCAATGTTCAATTTCATTTCTGAGTCATGATAAGGAAGTTTGTTGGATCAACTGACCAACTTGTTGGATCAAGTTGGATCAACTTGAGATCAATTGACCCAACTCTCACGAGGGATCTTCACCAAGGACCACGCCGTATGTATCAAAATAACACACGACACAATCTTTTCGCTTAACTTCAATGACACTTAAGCACCACAGCACACGTCCCGCCTGAATTCATCATAAACGATCATTTTTTTTAAAATAAAGCTGAACCATGACTTCTCAGCGATGTCTTTATAGTTATTGTACGGTACGAATCAAACCCTAAAGATCGCAGACCTAACCACTATTATACGTTTAATTTGAGTAGAAGCGAGTTTGTTCTGTTGTTACCTGTGCAAAACTTGAGGTCTGTTTATGTTCTGGAGGCGTCGACAGACCTGGAACTGATTCGGCGTAGCGAGACCGCGGCGGCCGCAGACCGCGCCGACTTGGAGCGACGCTGCGCAGAACTCGAGAGAACGGCCAACCAACTGCGCATCGACAACGACTCTCTCGCTTTTAAAGTGTGTATTTTTGAAGACGATCTATTACAGCCAATATCAATTCATAGTAAAGTTGAGAATCATTCTTATAGAAAAGTAATTCGAAGTTATTTATGGTGCATATGTTATGAGAAGTAAATTTCCAAGTTGTAATCGACAATACAAATCTGGCGTAAGATTTTTTTCTTACGCCTAAACAATTTTCTCGCCTTCGGGACGTTATCTACCTCAATTAAATTTAATTGAGATGCATACATGCCTATAAACATTTATGTCAGAATTTCTGAATGTTCGAACTTCCCGTCAACATACCTTGAAATTGTTACAAAAAGTTTTTAAATAGTCTTTCCTTCATCTTGCACATGATTTGAACATGTAGTCAAGCCAAAGTAAACTGACCTATTTGATGTAATGTTTACACTCAACTCAAAATGAGGGCTAATAAACTACGGTATTATTTATTTGGGAAATTACGCGATCGCATTATCCTTTCAGAGCGTGCAGTTGTTTTTTTCTATATATAGGGTGGATTACTGTCTGATCTCAGCTGCAGGCAATTTTTAAGCCCGAAAATTTTTTTGGTGGTAATCGAGATCTGCAGTCCTGCACCGAATGGCCATGGTTGAACAACAATGGCTTCATCTCTACCAGAGCTTGTAGGAATAATTTTTTGTTCTTCCGAACAATGATCAATTTCATGCTTTTATAATTAGAAAATATTGACAAAATGTGAGGAAATAAAATCAAAAGGCGACTTGCAACCGTGTTGTGCTTTCTTGCAGTTGTCGGAGGCGTACACCGAGTTGGAAGAAAATGATGTCGAGATCCGCAGATTACAGCGGAAACGTAAGTATCTTAAATTATCCTTCCACATCATTCAAGTTAGTAAAAAGTAAATACGATACTAAGCTAAGAAGGATGGCTCATTGAATTCATGTTAACTAATCTTCTATTAAATAAGACGTGCATCTTAATGGTGAAATAATATCTCTGAAGGGCTCCCCGCCATATTATTGGAGTATTCATATAGCCGTAGCTCATTGCAAAGCGATATAAGGTTTATTAATAAGTTAAGCTAGTTAAATGTTCATGCTGGTTATACTTTTTTGTTCATTTTCGCTTTATTCTTAAATTATCGTATTATTATCTTAATTTGAATGGCGTTGTACAAATATATGACACACAATAGATCACCGAAAAGTATTTCCAGATCAGAGCGAGGAAGGAAAGGCTGGTGGGCAGACGAGCATCTTCCCTATCCCGCCGCCCCCCGAGGACAACCACCACAGCCTCCCCGACGACGTGCGTGAGGCGGTGTCTGAAGGCCAATACTCGCCTCCGCTCAGCGAGAGGATCTCGAAGCGGTGAGCCCGGCGTGCCTGTTTTGCCTGCGTCCCCGACTTGAATGCGTTTAGCGCAAAATGATTTTTAAAGAACGGGGTTTAGTTAACACGTTGACTACGATTGCTTCATCTTGTACTATTATTTCATTTTTGTACTTTTTTAAGCAGGGTTGCCAGACGGTAATTTTTTCCGGACAAATTCCGTGATTTAGTTTTTCTCAATTGCGTTGGCCGGCTAAAGTTTATGATAGGGGTACTTCCTAATTAAATTTTAAATTCTGCAAAAAGACAATAAATGTAATTTTTATAGCGGAACCTACAAACAAACTAGTATACATTGAATTATCGGCCTTTTTTGTTCTCGGATTTGGCCGATTTTAGGCAACCTGAATTATGTACCACTACCTCCTGGAGAAATACATTTCGTGGTACGCATATGTACCAATACGTAGTCAACGTGTTAAAAATGTATACTAAAAAAATCGTATTGTTCCCAACCAGTGCCTTGCTTAATAAAATTATTTTTTGACCTGTCACTCGTAATTTGTGAACATTCATCCTTATCGGGTCAGAGCGTCTGCACTAACAGTGCAATTGAGTGTAAAAATTAACATTTTAGGATTGATAATCAGACGTACTACATGTAGAGCACTAATCTTAATAATAACCGAAAAATTTTTATAATATAGAATTCTGATTCATCGATTACATACGCTATTATTTACATTCCATTTCGAGATTGTACATGGGTATATAAAGTTCGTATGTCACCACAGAGACCGAGCTGACGCAACCAAGCACAAGCACCCGCGGCGGCTCAGCAAAGCGACCAGCGAGGCAGACTGTCGGTGAGCTGATGGTCTTATGATGCCCTCACAGCTGTTGTTCTTTACAGTTTATTTAGAAATTTGTGAATGTATCTACCAGCCTATTTTTACTCTTATTATTTTCACTCCTATAATTATTTTCACTCCTACCCGCCTATTTTCACTCCACAGAATTTAAACTCTAACTAATTTGTATTTTTCAAACTAATTTTTATTTTCTACTAGTATGCCCTCGATAAATCAATGGCTCGACTTTTGAGATGCTTTCTCACCAGTCAGAAGTTTTTACACATAAAAATTGCTTTTAGTTTAAAATTTTTAGTAACTTTTATTGAAGGATATTTTTTTTCATTCGTGGTGATAGGTATATTGCATATTCTCAATATTTTTCTTACTAGTAAATCCGGAAATCTTTTGTTTCAAAATTTGTTAACCTAAAACTGTGATTCTGTATTTTTGTCCCGCGTGATTATTCTTATCCGTCTGCAGGCTCTCGTACTAAATTATTCAAATAGTTTCGAGACTGATGATCTTCGAAAATATATCATTTCAGAAAAGACGAAGGCGTCTCTGATGACATCAAGCAATACCAAGAAACCATCGCTGAATTAAAGGTGAGTTCCTTTATAAGCTGATTCGCTGTTCACCTACATTCACTAAATATCGTTAATTTTTACAAAAAAATACTTATTTTTTCAGATCAGTATTTCAATGCGGAATTCTACTGTCAGTAGTTTGCGAAGGATGGCCTCAGCATTCCGAACTCTTTGGTCTTTGCTATAAGAGGTGCTTAGAACGTCTTTCAATCAATAATTTCTAAGTCGTGCAAATAATGACTAATTCTCTTGACTGTTATACTAAATTAAATTGCATAATTACTTTCTCTTCTTCAGGTTATGGAATTTCACTTCAATGATATCTTTGCACCGTCCACTATAAGTTTGTTTGATTTTAGTTTCACAGTTAGGTGATGGTAAGCATTATCGTCTGTTTAACCTCGGTTTCCTTGCAAGAAGCTCTGGCTAACTCTGGTCGTATTTTTGTAACCCAAGAAAAATCTTGGAGGAGGCTTGTTTCCAACCACTGATAAAATTATATATTTGTGCGTGAAGCCCGTTAAAAGTTGCGCTCGCGGATCTCTGCAAGATTTACATTGCAGCAGAATAAATCAACATACATCGCAATGATGTGTATTTTTATCGCAGGCGGAGAGCTCGGCGCTGCGGTCGCGCCTCGTCACCGCCGAGGACAGACTTCTAGAGACTCTATGCGACCTCGAGAGGCTCAGGATCAGGAGTAGAGGCAGACTGCAGGCTGTCAGGTAAACGGGCTGAAGGCTGTTAGGTGGCCACAGATACCCCGCTTCAAGTAACTATCCTCAAACTATTATTTTATTATTATATGTGCTTATTATTATTTCGTATCTATGCCCAAAAAACTTTATATAAATTGAATGTGAGACGCTGATAACTATCAAATTTGTTCCTCAGGTTACGTCACAAGAACGAGTGTGTCAAGCTGGAGATCCGAGTCAAGGAACTGAGCAACAAACTAAAAGCTGGACAAGTGCACGCCGACGCTCAGGTGACTACTTTTCATACCTCCATTCTGTTAAAAGAAAAGTGTAAAAACTATCCCTTAGGAAATAATTACTTTAATGCATGAATTGATATCAATCACTCAAAAGTGCTGTAAGGAGTATCTTACAACTGTGAAAGGACACGGGCTCCAATGAATTAAAAATTTTGATCATAAAAATATTTACGTTAGCTTATACTTGCTGGTTTTCCAGGAGACCAGATGTGAGGCGCTCGAGAACGAATTGCGACGTGCAGCCAGTGAGAAGTACAGTCTGCAGCAAAGGTAGTGACGTGTAACGTTAGCACTGAGAAGTACAGTCTGCAGCAATGCTAGTGACGTGTATAGTTAGCAGTGAGAAGTACAGTCTGCAGCTATTGACGTGTAACGTTAGCACTGAGAAGTACAGTCTGCAGCAAAGGTACTGACGTGTAACGTTAGCACTGAGAAGTGCAGTCTGCAGCAAAGGTACTGACGTGTAACGTTAGCACTGAGAAGTACAGCCTGCAGCAAAGGTACTGACGTGTAACGTTAGCAGTGAGAAGTACAGTCTGCAGCAAAGGTACTGACGTGTAACGTTAGCAGTGAGAAGTACAGTCTGCAGCAAAGGTATTGCAAAAAATGTTTCTTGTTTACACCGTAGTTACTTATCGCTTGACGATAAGTTCGAACACGAGAAGTGACGTCAGTTCGAACACGAGAAGTACAATAACCAAACCACGAATAATCATTGTGACGCGATGTTTCATGTCACTCCAGGATCATCGAGGACGAGGAGATGATGGCGAACTCGCTAGTTCAGCAGGACCTGGCCGAAGAGAAGCTGCGCGGGCTCGTGCAGAGCAACGCGCGCCTCAACGAGCTCGTCAAGGACCTGCTAGTGAAGAAGACCATCCTGGGCATAGAGGCTCTCAAGAAAAGTTTCGTCGTCAACACCACAACTGGCGGTCGGGAGGTCAGACGCGCTTCCACAAGCTAGTTATTAACATAAATTATTCCACTTAACGATGTCAATGAATGGTGTTCTGTTCAAAATAAACAATTCGGATTTGGAGTTCATTTATCTGGACCTGAACTCAACGTCATGTTATTTCTTTCTTCGTCCCTATTCATTAACTTGGCTGTGAAGCATAATTTGTCTTTTAAAAGCGATTTTTGATTAGGAATAGATAGTTTTGGACCATCCATTTGTTGTAATCAAGTTTGCTAAACATAAATACACTTTATAAACAATTTGGAATTAATAATTTTCATTGGTTCGGAAGCTCTGTAGAGACAGCAGCGGAATTCTTGGACGTAACGCACGGCAGCCACTTCGCACAGAGCGCGACAATCACGGGCCTAAATGGCGATACGGCAAATATTTTCTCAAGTCATCAACCGCAGGACGGTGAAAGGCGATGCAGTAATTATTGCAAACAATTCGTTGATATCAAGTATTCTAGAAGGAAAGAGATCAGCCCGACGAGAATTTTGTTGAAAATTTTATTTGATAACGTAATTCTGATAATGTATAATCTACTACTGTATTCAGCCAGATTATCGCTAGGGAAATACATAATTTCATAGATAATTTCTTCATGGAATGGGTAGAATGCACGGCCTTATTGTCTATCGAATCAAGCCAACAATAATACCGGTTAGTGAACGAATTATACAGGCTCAATGGTTATATGGGAAAAAATAACGCCCATAAAGACGCGTTTCAGCTTCACGCTGAACATGGCTGAACTGTGTTAATGTAGAGAAGAGAATGCAAGTGATGTATTAATCAGCGTTATGCTATTACCTCTACGAACAATCTATATTAACACAGCATGAAAATATTATGTCAAATTTACCGCAGCAAATAGGTATATGGGTCACAAATAATATCTAGTTATTGTTTATATATCTTATATGTAATCGGGTAATGCTATTGACATGGACTAAACAACAGCATGGCACTTCAAGTGCATCGCCAACGCATCAGTTTTTTATTGATTGACAGCAGTCCGCTCCCTGGAGTCCTTGATTAGATTCCCGACACACAGAGGACGGTTTCCAAGCGACGTACCTGCGTGGCGGAGGGCGAAACCGTGCGAAATTCATTATTAGAATAACATGAAAGGCCTGGCCAAGTAGCAGTCAAACGTATCACCTGATATTTCTATTGTAAGGATCTCATTCTTGAATGAACGAGAGAGAATACGAGGATAAATTATCGAGTGGGCAGTTCGATTGACATTGCAATGCCTTAGTCAAAATGTACTTCGATTCATGTTTCTACCAGGTCCCGTTCCTGCGAAAGAAGCGTGCAAGTAGGCAATTAATTGCTGCTTACATTATCAGAAGCTAGCGCATACTTTATTGAAATCGTCCATACAAAATTGTTCTTAATACTTCAACAAGGTATGCAATTCGATTCCATTAACAATGCCGGACGCAGAGCGGGGCACTCCGCAACTGGGTAGGCATTGCTAGGCTCGATGTACAGAAGTGATGCCTGATATACACAAGAGTTAGCACTAATTACTATCAGGGAAGTGTTGTGCAACTTGGTCCAAGAAAACAGACCCCAAGTTAACGGGAACCAAACTGAGCCAATTTATCGTGATATCGTGAGCCATGAGTGTTGAGAAAAACTCAAACATAGCAACTTTCCTCTTCTGCGAAGGCAATACCAGTAAGCGACAATTCGTATTGGGCGAAACAACTGCTATAATTCATTCTTTTGATGAATGAATTTACTAGGTTAAAGTATTATAAACTACTTTGAGACATAAACCAGCCACACATATAATTCTGCGACAATATCATCCATTTGTTACGCTGGCGTGCGAGAATGAGGACTGCCCGATAACAACCCATGACGCGGTAGAGACGAGTTAGCAACTTGCATAATGAGACACACAGCAATACGCTACACCAAGGCCGGCCTATAGACTATTATAGTAGTAGGCGCAAATTCTCATAGTGTCTGACCTATGAACACCACACAGCACTAGTGGAAACCAAGGAGCAGCATCCGAACCAACCAACACGCAACAGACTGCCGGTAAAAAAAAAAATGTCAAATACTTATCGGCCAAGTCAAATAATCAAGGCTTTTATTTAAAAGGCTCAAGAAACTTCACAACGTTCATGGTTCTCTTCACTGCAGCAAAAGTAACCTACATTGAAGGCAGACATAAAATAGAAAACACCATTTCAGACAACTACAACAAGTCAAATCAACATTCTAGAAGTTATGAGAAGAGAAACAAAAAAAAAAAACTAAAAAAAATCGTAGTTGGAGTTTTGATAATACAAACAAGAAGTTTTAAAAAGCACTGTGGTGTTGCAATGAGTAAGAAAACAAACAAAAAGAAGAAACATAAAATCACACACGAATATTGCCTGGAATCACAAAATACACGAATTTCTAATATAAGAGAAGGCAGACTAGAAGAGACGAAGACGAGCGACAGGGACAGGCAGGGCGGAGCATCACTCAGGCGTGCAGTAGGGGCAGGCACGTCTGTAACACAAATACAAACTTCTCATGACCAGGTCAACAAAATCAAAACATGTCGTTCCTTATGAAATCTAGGAAATATCACGTTCTCACTTTTGACACGTAATGAAAGTTATCAATAGTCATGTCGTTATTCATTAGATATTATTATGTTGGATAGTAGATACGATCTGCGAGTTTATTGTAGCCAGGCAAGACACAGTCATAGAGCTAGAGCATTGGATGACAACCAGAAAAAAAAAACAGTTTCAAGTTTTGCAATGCAGCGAAGCTCCAAATAACTATCACAACAGCGAAAGGGTTTGAAATCGTGGTCAATCTACTGTAAATGTTTTCAACAAATTATTTACATAGTCAGTACATGCTATGTCTGTAGCATCTAATTGCTCCCGTTTTATTTATAGCCAATAGCAAGTAAACTCTACTATCGAACAAACACAAAGATTATTAGAAACATAATTTGAAATAAAATTTACACTTTCACCAAGTGGGGATATAACATTCAAGTTATACTCAGTGAAAATATTATGAGTAGAATGAAGAAGATTCTAAAACAACACAGGCAATGCACACGCCATATGATGCGAGGTTATGATATTCATGCAATTTAATAAGACAACTGAAAATATAAATATCAGGCACCACGGCTTATGAGAAAACTGCAGCCACTCACAGTAACATGGCTTAAGAGGCCCACGCAGCCACTCACAGTAACATGGCTTAAAGGCCCATGCAGCCACTCACAGTAACATGGCCTAAGAGGCCCATGCAGCCACTCACAGTAACATGGCTTAAGAGGCCCATGCAGCCACTCACAGTAACATGGCTTAAGAGGCCCATGCAGCCAGTTCAGCCATGTCATCCTCTTCTTGGACCTTCTTCTTGGCAGGCACAGCAGGCGTGGCGGTCGGCACATCAGGCAGCTCAGCGGCATCAGCAGAAGTGCCACCAGTTTCCAGGAGCCTTTCATCCAATGCTTCTTGTTCCAGCTCTTCAAGCTCTGCTAGCAGGTCGTCCTGGAACATATGTATGGCGTTATACACAACCATCATTCACAAAGACATCACAAAAAGTTATTTAAATAAAATAGACAAAATTCATGTCAGTCATGGATGATAAATAAATGATATAAAACAAAAAATAGAGTTGTTATAATCTAAAACTTGCATGGCAGATAATGACCTAAAAATTACCTACAGGCATTTATTTGTAACAAATTGTGAAGCCAAAAGTCAGAATTTTGAACTTATCTAAAATATTGAATAAAACTGATATTCACATGATATATGAAGGCTTATCTTTAATTCTTTAATTTGGATAACTTCCATGTTAATAATGACCAAACCCATCATTTACCTCATCAACATCTTGTCCAAAGGCAACAGGATTGGATATGGCTTCAGATATCTCTCTAGCAACATCCTGTTGGTCAGCAATATCATCCATCATGTCATGGACCTTGTCCACATCCATGTCCTGATGAGCACTCTTGAGTGCCTTGGCTGCTTCTCCCATGGTTTGCAGGACATTTGTGTTGGTGTTGGCTGACTCAAGAGCTTCTCTCTGCATCTCTATAGTGCTCAGTGTGCCATCTATCTGCTGCAGCTGCTTCTCATAGCGCTTCTTGCGTTTCAATGCTCCAATGGCAACTGTGATCCAAATTTATAAAGAGATCATAGAATCTAAATTAATAGGTTGGGATTTGATTTACAATTAATACATATACTGTGAAATTGATGCCAAAACTATAGCAACATTGACAATATACAAATGAATGTTTTTACCTAAACAATGAGCATATGTAAAGCTTAGGGAAACAATTTGAACAAATATTGTCAGAGCTCACCTCTTTTATTCTTGGTGCCATTCTGCTTGGCAATTTTAAGTTCATCCTGGATCTTCTTCTCCAAGAAGTCCTGTTTCTTGATGAGCATTTCTTCTGTTTCTCTTAGCTTCTGGATGGCTTCAGCTGCTGTGGGCGGCTTGGCTCCCTTGCCCCCACCAAACATTTTACTAAAAAGACTCATGATGCAGTTTTATTTTATGGCAAGCTAAATATCTAAGCAGAGACTTTATTTTATGATGGTAGGTACATATATCAAGTAATATCAAATTAAGTTGATTATATTGCAAAAAATTTCCTAGGTGATATATAATTGGGCTGCACAGATAGATCAAATAATGAAAAAGGACTACATACTGTATCTCTCAACTTATCAGTATCTTATTTGAAAAGGAAAATACAATAGTTAATCAAATTGAAGCAAGATATTAGTTTTCATGGTTGCCAAATAATAGAATCTTACCTCTTTGCATGAATTTGAATAAAGCCTTAATAAAACAATTTGGTGTATTTTAAAAGCTCAAGTGGTTTTTAATGTATGACAGTGTAGAAATTAAGAGGAGTACTAAATTAACCAGTACACATAGCATATTGGAAAGCAGGTCCCAATGTTTGGAAATGCCAGCAACTTTCCACTTTCAGTACGGTATATTATAATCACTGATGAGACTCAGCATGCTACAGCTGTTGCATTGTCATAGAAATGTAGTGTCACCAATCACAATCATGCGACCAATCACAGTGTGGAGATGGAAATGCATCCGGCCATAAATGAAAGCAACTTTACCCACTGACATTCATTTACTGGAAATGAAAACCATTACACTTATACACACTTTACAGACATGGCAAAAAAAATTAATGCAATGTCAATCATTGCAAACAATGGACCTGGAAAAGTTATGAAGAATCTGTCAATCATCAGAGAAATCACAATTATCATCAATGAAATGAGAGACAACTGCCAACTAAATAACTCTATAACAAATCTGAATTACTACATCATTGAAACAGTCTACTTCTTATCCTTCTTTATAGTCAGTTGCCTGCAGTGTGGAATTCTGGAAACATAGTGGATCAGAAGGCCTATCACATTACACCTCCCACAGCTATGCCAAGGCATACATTGAGCTCGCGAACGGCTGCTGCTACTCTGACAGCGTTTGACTTACCGACTGCATGTGGATCTCCGTGATGCCATTTTTGACACTCTTCACTAGTGGTTTATTTGTAAGTGAACAATTTTTGCAATTAATGAGTTATAAAATAAACAAAAATTATGTCCACTATTGCAGAAAAGTCTTAAAATTTCAATGATACCAACACAGTTTTTGGTACCACATAACATAGTGCAATTCTATAGGTCATATAAAAAAAAAACATAGTATTTTGAGATTTTGAACTGATCAATGCTGCATTACAGACCATCCACAGTACACTTGCACCACCTCTCACAAGAACAAACTGCATTCTAAATAAACAAAAGAGATAGCATTGGCAGGCAGCAGCTGCAGCACCTGCAGATCAGCTGCAGCAAATTTGAAATTTTTCAAAATATAAGTACCTACTTATCAAAGTCAGGTTTTAGGTCATTAAATGACTACAAATATAAAAAATGTATATTACCACATGAATTTAAATGTTGTTAAAATTGTAAAACTTCAAAGTATCTCTCTTATCATATATAATTGGGAAATAAATTATAATTTGGCTATATTTGTTGCTCAAAACCACTTGTAGAACCGATTGGTCTGATCAAAAGTCTACTGACATTGATTGATTTAATTCAAAGAACTAGACATGTGTTTATAGGGCTTGACTAATTTGTCATAAAAGTTGTATCTCCACATTTTCATGATTTTTTACAAGTTAAATTTATAATCTTAAATGAGATTTTCAAGTAAAATGTGAAACATACTTCACATGAATTCCCTCATTACAAGTACTTTGCCACAAGTTAATTCATTGATATTCAACAATAAAAAGCATTAATAGTACAATTTTATTTAATTTAAATAAAAAGAAAGCATATTCCAAGTTAGGAATGGCTCATAAAACATTTCTGAAAATAATTGCTTCATGACATATAGCATGTAACCTCACACGTGATTATATGTCACTGGTGACATTACCACCAGCTCCCCTGGTCCTGCCTACAACTCTATAGTTACATTCAGGCTTGAGTACGGTACTTGCCAGTGCATCCTACATTTCCCAGATATTGCAAATATTTTAGATTGTGATAATATTAATATTTTTTTTGTGATATTGTGAATATTAATACATTATACATTATAGTTCTAACATCCTGAGATACACAATTTTAATGTCTTTAGCACTGGTTGCATGAGCCAAGAAGCTTGAAATATGAACAAAGGAGTGAAGTGTCTTTCAGTTGAAGTCATAGTGGTAGCCGTGCAACCTACAAAAGTAGGTCTTTGTTATTTGGTCAGTCATTGTTGGCATTTTGCAACCCTGGAAGTGTGTAAGCTATTTTAATATAAAATTCTTCATTTTTGAAATTTAATTCCAAGATCACAATTTATCTATGTTGTATTGTATATGTGCATGTTGTAATGTATTGTATTGCTCCACCAACTCTGAGAAAATGGCAACTAGTTTTGACTTGCTACTTTGACAATCAACACTTGTGTGAAGTTATAATTCATCCTAAATATGAAATCTAAAAAAATTTGAATGTTAAATTATTTATTTAACATCTTAAGTGCAGCAACGACCCACAGCACTGGCAGCTGGCCTAAAAACGGCCAAGTCTGCTGCTAAAGAGGCCTATAATTCAAAATATAATAGTAAATTTGTAGGTTCAGGTGCAAAAATTAAATTTCCCTTTTTTGTAAATTTTTTTACATCATTTAAAATAAAAATATTTAAAATAAAATAATTATTTGAAATAAAAATAAAATGTAAATAAAATTTTCCTTTTTTTTATCCGGAAAAAAGACCCTGCCACCAACCCGTGGGCCGTCCCGCACTTAACATGTTATAGTTAACTTTACACTCAGTACAAGAATTTGTCTTTGATCAAAATAAAACTATTTAAATTCCTAACTGGTCGGTCAGATGTCGTGTCTCCCGTCACAACCCCCCCCCCCCCAAGCGTGGTGACCTAAACTGGGCATCTTTTGCCAAGACTGATAACGGCAATATATTAAGCCAATCCTAGAACTGCACTGTGCTAGACAAAATGATAAGATAATCTCCAGTTCTTCTCTGACATGTAGCACATTGTAACAGCCAGACTGCATTATAATGTGTTCAGTTACAAGTAAATTGAAGACAAATGTTAGTGTTGCTGTTTGATGACAGTTTTTAGGATAAAATTAGGGATTTGGGGTAACACATGCACGGGACTTTGAAAATAAATTTGCAGCTCATAAATGGCTTTTCATGGCTGATATATATATTATGGAATTCACAGCTCGAAGAAATTGAATCATGGCTAGCAAACCCATAGAAGCATGGCTCAAAAAATCCAGTCGCAGCTCAGTGAGCTCACCAAGTAGGTATATTCTATGCCTCAGTGCCTGGCCAGCACCCCAGCAGTACATTTTGAACTGGCACCACGCATGGTTGTTGATGCCTGCACTCGCACTGCCAGTCTCAAACTTGCATTGTCATCTTCACAGAGCAGAACCTACTAATGTTGGAGCCAGAGATATGTAAAAACTAATTATTTTTAAATGTAAATTTATTTGTAAAGTGAATTATATTTTATTGATTATTATTTGTATACTGAAATATATTTTATATATTATATCAGCATTCATAAAATTGTGAAGCAATGCATATGCTTAATTTGCCTCTCGAAATTGTATGCTGGCCCTAAAAAAACCTGTTTTCAATTGCTGCTATGGTAATATAAGTATTCAAGTGATGAAGTGAAGATGCCCCACTACCTGTATGGGTAATGTTAACTTCAATTTCACAATTATAATCAATAATAGAATTTATGTGCACTGAGGTTTAAATGCTGGAGAGTTTGTTAAAACTCAAACACCTCTCTATTAGCATCTAAATATGAATTTTTTCATGTGTTTACATGATTTTGTCAATATTGTCTTACTAAATTTACCTTACAAGTTACATCCTGAATGATTTTGTCTCTCATTGTGAGTTTTTGAATGTCTTGTGTCCTATAGAAAATGTTTGTAGTTCATAGGCAAGAATTGTAGCATTTTGAGAACTTGGGCATGTATGATGCAGGCATGGAATATACCTACTTGGCAAAGCAATGACTGAATTTTTTGAGCTGTGGTTTTAAGGTTTACCAGCCATTGAAGAGGAGCATATTGCTCCTCTTGCTTAATCTTAGAGTATTAGGTTCTTACTTTTCATTCCTGGCACATTACAGCAATCCCTTGATTAGCACGGTTTTGAATAGCGCGGTTTTGATTAACGCAGAAAAAAAAATTGTGACCTGCCCTTAATCTACGCGGTGCCAGTTTTGATTAGCGCGACTTTTTTTTCACAATGCATCATTTTCCCGCCTCTAGCCAGAGGTGTTACGTTCGTAACAAAAGTGTTACTTTTTGCTTATTAGATCCTATGTTGTTACTTTTGTTACGACTTTTGGAAAAGTTCGCCAAATATTGTTACTATATGAATTTCAGCCAATAATTCTTTAAATAAGGTCCCGTTCCGTAGGCACTCGTGCTGACTACAGAGTCGGTTTAACCACGCCTTGTCTCGTTCATAACTTGAATGATCGAGTTCGGCAACGTTCGCCAGTAAGTGCGCCATGCCGGTGCTCTAGCCCTTTAAGCCCTGGTGTGACGAATTCGTCACACAGAAAATAAAAGCTTCTACCGAGAGTAATTACACGTTTGGAGTCTAGCCGCAAGTGTGACAGTAGCGTCACATGTTGTGAACTCGTTCGAACAACGTTCGATGGAGTAGGTGCGCCGCTACTGCCAGTACAACACAAAGACTGCGCGTGATCTGAAATGTAATTCAGATTGTTTTTTCACTTTCGAAACATAATTCAGTGCGTAAAGGGCTAGTTACTCGTTAGCCTTCAACTGGTCAAGATCGCTGCCATATCTACTGTCCACTTTTATCAAGCTACATAATTTTCCTATCCTTTGCTATTTTTGAGGATTCATTATAATTATTCCCATATATTCTTAAGTTTGATTAGCGCGGTTTTGCTTAACACGGTAAAACTCGGGGATTTATTAACCGCGTTAATCAAGGGATTGCTGTAGTGTATTGCTTACTTTAGGTTATGCTTCCTAATATGGTTTGCACTTTCCATTTAATTTAGGGCTTTTGTGACTTATTATTAATGAATATTTTCTTCCCTTGTATTTGTTTCAGGTGTTGTTGTTCTCCATCAATAATTCA